AACCCATAGACATAACTATTGATGACTTGGAATCTAAACAAAAAGTGACACATTTATTGAAATCACATTCAATGCAAACTTATCTGTATTACACCAAATAATATTTAAAGATCAATAAAATAACCTACTTCAATTAAGTTTTTGTTTTAAATGATTTATGAATTTTATGAAATAATAATAATAATTAGCTACAAATAAAGTGTTTTAATAATATCATGACAACTGTTATCTATATTAACACAGTTTTAGATTCATACTTTCTAGCTCTTAAGTGGACATTTATTAATAATTTAAAAGAATTTATTAAACCAAAAATTCCGCCAAAACTTATCCTGGTATAGGTGTTTATGGTAATTAAATATTTAATATATCTAATTATAACAGCAGAAATGTGTACACATTTACTCTAATTTGTAGCTTTTGAGAGATTGTTAAAAATAATTGAAAATCAATATATAAAGTATTATTTTAAGATAAGTATCATTCATATGTTTGAGTTAACGATATATTCAGGTACTTCCAACAGATATCAACAATCTACTTAATCAAAATCCTTGAAAATACATTTTTACTTTCAAGTTAAAATAATCAGGATCATAAATTACTCAATTATTCACATTATGCACATATTGTGGAATATATAAATTAAATATAAATTTATTATAATTATTTATTTAATTTAAAATATCCTATATAAATATTACATTAAATGAATATGAAGTGTATTATTATATTATTGTCGTTTATTGTGTTTGGTAAGAGTTTCAATCTAAAATATTTTGGTTATATTTATTTAAGTAATATATTATATTTTTAGTCAATTCTAGTCAGCCATGTATTCAAAGAGACTACGGGTATGGGTCGACAGTCTGTGTCTGTAATCTAACACATTGTGATGATTTCGATGCACTCAAGATCACCGCCAAAGGTGTGGTCACTGTCTTCGAGACGAGTAAAAGTGGCGATCGGTTGGAGAAAACAGAATTCAAATTTGGAGACAATTCTGGGTTTAAAGCAAACAAAGCGCAGACAATAACTATCGATAAAAGTAAAGGCGTTTATCAGAAGATTGTGGGCTTTGGGGGCGCCTTCACAGACTCCGCCGGACTTAACATGAAAACTCTTCCCGAAAAACTACAAAACCGTATAATTAGTGACTATTTCTCTAAATCTGGAATTGAGTACAATTTGGGACGCATTCCCAAGGAGAAAACAGAATTCAAATTTGGAGACAATTCTGGGTTTAAAGCAAACAAAGCGCAGACAATAACTATCGATAAAAGTAAAGGCGTTTATCAGAAGATTGTGGGCTTTGGGGGCGCCTTCACAGACGCCGCCGGACTTAACATCAAAACTCTTCCCGAAAAACTACAAAACCGTATAATTAGTGACTATTTCTCTAAATCTGGAATTGAGTACAATTTGGGACGCATTCCCATCGGAGGTTCAGACTTCTCAACCCATGCCTACAGTTATGACGACAATAATAAAGACGACTTTGATTTGAAACACTTTAGTTTGGCGGAAGAAGACCTTGATTATAAGGTTTGGGATAAATTATTTTTGTAACACCTTATAATTAATAATGTTAATTATTTATATATAGATTCCGATAATTAAAAAAGCCAAACAAATTAACAGCGATTTGAGAGTATTTGGCAGTCCTTGGTCACCACCTGCCTGGATGAAAAATAATTCAGAACTAAACCATGGTGGATACCTAATAGGAGAGCCTGGTGGCAAATACTATAAAGCATTCGCAAACTACATTGTTAAGTATGAATAAATATAATTAAACAAAACTAAGACATAAAAATATAATTTATTTATTTTATAGATTTTTAGACTCATATAAAGCATCGGGAGTTCCTGTATGGGGCATAACCATAGAGAATGAGCCATATGCAGCATCATTATTACCCAACTTTCCCTGGAATAGTCTGAGTTTCACTCCAGAACTTGAACGGGATTTCATCAAAAAGGATTTGGGACCCACTCTGGAGGCGGCCGGTTATGGTGTCAATACAACCCAACTTATGATATGCGATGATCAGAGGGAATGGGTTCCCACGTGGGCTAACACTATATACACCGATAAAGATGCGGCCAAATATGTGTCTGGATTGGCGTTTCACTGGTACATAAATACTGATAAAAATGTCCTAAACTTGGATGTCGTACATAATACCGATCCCAGCAAATTCATATTGTCTACGGAGGCCTGTGAGGATTATAGGGGTAAAGAACAGCACGTATTTCTGGGCAGTTGGCAGACATTTGAGAGATACGCTAAAGATATTATTGTCGTTAGTTTTTATGATTCATTGTTTATTCTATTATATAATAAAATTAAACAAAAAATGTTTTAGGATTTAAATCACTGGACGTCTGGTTGGGTTGATTGGAATATGGCGTTGGATACGGAGGGCGGACCCAATTGGGCGAAGAACTTCGTTGACGCACCCGTTATAGTGAACGCCACGAGTCAGGAGTACTATAAAAATCCCATTTTCTACGCTATGGGACATTACAGCAAATTCTTGACCCCTGGATCTCAACGGGTGTTTCAAACACAAGAACCCTCTGTTGACACACTGTTGTCAACTACTTTTGTGCGACCGGACGGGGGAACTGTAGTTATTGCNTTGTAGTACTCCTGACTCGTGGCGTTCACTATAACGGGTGCGTCAACGAAGTTCTTCGCCCAATTGGGTCCGCCCTCCGTATCCAACGCCATATTCCAATCAACCCAACCAGACGTCCAGTGTTTCAAATCCTAAAACATTTTTTGTTTAATTTTATTAATTAATAGAATAAACAATTAATCATAAAAACTAACGACAATTATATCCTTGGCGTATCTCTCAAAGGTCTGCCAACTGCCCAGAAATACGTGCTGTTCTTTACCCGTATAATCCTCACAGGCCTCCGTAGCCAATATGAATTTGCTGGGATCGGTATTATGTACGAAATCCAAGTTTAGGGCATTTTTATCAGTATTTATGTACCAGTGAAACGCCAATCCAGATACATATTTGGCCGCATCTTTATCGGTGTATATAGTGTTAGCCCACGTGTGAACCCAATCCCTCTGATCATCGCATATCATAAGTTGAGTTGTATTGACACCATAACCGGCCGCCTCCAGAGTGGGTCCCAAATCCTTTTTGATGAAATCCCGTTGAAATTCTGGAGTGAAACTCAGACTATTCCAGGGAAATTTTGATGTTAATAATGCTGCATATGGCTCATTATCTATGGTTATGCCCCATATAGGAACTCCCGATGCCTTATATGAGTCTAAAAACCTATAAAATAAATAAATTATATTTTTATGTCTTAGTTTTGTTTAATTATATTTATTCATACTTAACAATGTAGTTTGCGTATGCTTTATAGTACTTGCCACCAGGCTCTCCTATTAAGTATCCACCATGGTTTAGTTCTGAATTATTTTTCATCCAGGCAGGTGGTGACCAAGGACTGCCAAAAACTCTCAAATCGCTGTTAATTTGTTTGGCTTTTTTAATTATCGGAATCTATATATAAATAATTAACATTATTACTTATAAGGTGTTACAAAAATAATTGATCGCAAACCTTATAATTGAGGTCTTCTTCCGCCAAACTAAAGTGTTTCAAATCAAAGTCGTCTTTATTATTGTCGTCATAACTGTAGGCATGGGTTGAGAAGTCTGAACCTCCGATGGGAATGCGTCCCAAATTGTACTCAATTC